CTACTGCGACTCGTCCCAGTGCGCCGGGATTCCTTACAACGGTCAAGGATACGCAGGTCAGTAGGCCGCCGACGTAACTCCCTGCTCATGGCCGGGGCGCCGCCCGCCGCTGTCAAAGACTTCCTGTTAGCCCGTCAAGCTAACACTTTGGAACGCTCATCAACTTTCTCCACTTGCATGACAAACGGGCGACCCAAGTGGCTCCAGTCATGCTCGAAAGTGGCTGTGAAAAGCTCACAAACGTTCGGCAAACGTGCAACGACGGTGTTACCGTCATACCTGCGTACAATGCATCGACGCACTGACGTGCTGCAGTCAACACGCTCTACTACGTTCTACTGCACAAATGCGCCAATAGGAAGCCGCGATGCTCCAAACGTGCTGCGATCGTGCGACAAATGTTTTTTGTTTGACGATCAAGCATCCAACATGCTCCGACTACAACCCCGCTACTGTCATGATACTAACATGCGAAAGATATACTGTCATCATCACATACTCATGCTGAAGTACTGTGTGTGGATGTCAATGCTACAAACATGCTCGATTCAAACCACCGAATGTGCCGCAACCGTGATATCGGTGATACAAGCACACGCGTTGGATGTCGTTTGGTACGTGCGCTCCGAACGTAGCGTAGCAGGAAGTGTGCATGTGTGTTTCCTGACCCCGTGTGCTGTGCTGCTCCTTGCAGGTTCCGCGTAGTTTTTCTTTGCCGCCTGCGCCGCTTTCATGACTTCCCGAAACGCTCGAGACGTTTGAGGGAAGCGCTAACAAACTTTGCTGCACCGACGACAACAACAACAACAACAACAACAACAACAAACAGGAACTAACCAACAGCAAACATGGGTGGCGGCCATTTTGTGGCCCCTTTGCATCGTGCCGGCAAACGACGATGAGGAGCATGACGACGACAGCAACAACGAGAACATACTAACAACATGGAGATGAACTATTGATGCTTTGTTGCCCAGCAACCCTCAACCCGCTGCTTGCCAATGCCAACAACAAACCTCGTCTTTATTTCTAATTGGTCATACAGTGAAGCCTCGCCGTCCCGTTCGTGGGTTACAATTCCAATCTCTTGACCGTTGTCTCTCGTCAGAGATGAACCTCAGCCACAAACTGCACGCGCGGCAATCAATCGATGAATCGACAGACGGCTAATGGATGATCAGATGAATCCGCGTCGCGTTTGATTACGGATTCATCGTTTAGAGGTCTTGTTCAAATCCTCCAAATTTCGGACTCTCACGTGTACATTTGAGAGCAGACGTGCTCTTTCAAAACAACAATCAACACTTTTGCCGATTTTCTCACAGGGCTTACGGACCAAACCAGACACTAACTAATCGGATAGAAATTCATTTTATGTGTATCTCATTCAATAATGAATTGAAAAATAATCAATTGATGTTTTTTTTTGTTTTTTTTTTAATAATTGAATATAAAAAGGCTTCCAGGTGATTGGATTGAGGAACAAATGCAGTGCAACGATGCTGGCTTTTATGACCTAATTACTATTTTGCTACTCGCCTTCAGGCCTCTCATCATTACGCGGATAGGCAAACCGACACACAAATTGTAAACGACTGTTTCGCTTAATCTGCAAGCAGCCAATCAACCGTTCACGTCCACGCCACTTTTCCTAGCGTCATCTTGAGAGGTTTACCACCTTGCTTTATCCGCGGAATCTCGCCGGCCTGCCCTGTCCGACCTCCACGTGACCTCTTCTCGTGAGGCTGTTCGCTGTCAACACGGCTATCGGCTGGTTTCACTGTATTGGATAACATGATAATGATGACGCATGTGTGACATGCTGCAAGAGTTTTCCAAGTTCCTCAAGGTCCCGCCAGAGGTTCGTGTACGCGTTTGTGTCGCACTTTTCACTAGCAGAGTACATTTGAGAGCAGACGTGCTCTTTCAAAACAACAATCAACACTTTTGCCGATTTTCTCACAGGGCTTACGGACCAAACCAGACACTAACTAATCGGATAGAAATTCATTTTATGTGTATCTCATTCAATAATGAATTGAAAAATAATCAATTGATGTTTTTTTTTTGTTTTTTTTTTTAATAATTGAATATAAAAAGGCTTCCAGGTGATTGGATTGAGGAACAAATGCAGTGCAACGATGCTGGCTTTTATGACCTAATTACTATTTTGCTACTCGCCTTCAGGCCTCTCATCATTACGCGGATAGGCAAACCGACACACAAATTGTAAACGACTGTTTCGCTTAATCTGCAAGCAGCCAATCAACCGTTCACGTCCACGCCACTTTTCCTAGCGTCATCTTGAGAGGTTTACCACCTTGCTTTATCCGCGGAATCTCGCCGGCCTGCCCTGTCCGACCTCCACGTGACCTCTTCTCGTGAGGCTGTTCGCTGTCAACACGGCTATCGGCTGGTTTCACTGTATTGGATAACATGATAATGATGACGCATGTGTGACATGCTGCAAGAGTTTTCCAAGTTCCTCAAGGTCCCGCCAGAGGTTCGTGTACGCGTTTGTGTCGCACTTTTCACTAGCAGAAAACCAACGAAAAAGCTGCCGCGCGCAAAGTGCTGAACGAACATAAGAATGAATGAATGTTGACTAACGCTTTACACGCAAACCAGCTGCCCTTGCCCCGCCCCCCTCCTCCCACCCCCTTTAGCCCCTCCACCTACTAACGCTCGCCTAAAACCGGAAGTCGTGCACCTTGTTGCCAAGACGACAACTACAACAGGAAATGCTCTGTGAGCAGGCCGCTCCCCATCGACGTCCGACAGCGAGCCGGTGGCCCTGCCGCTCGATGAAGACCAATCGGCCGAGAGGCGACGCCGGAAGCGCTCGCTAGCTGCCAACGTCGCATCCTAGACGTCCGCCATCTTCCTCGTCGTTTGTTGTGATGACGAAACACCTTGACAACTTTAGCGTGTGCGTGTGTGTGTTGTCTGTGTGTGTGCGCGTGTGCTTGCGTGTGTCAACATTTGTAACATACTTGCTTTGTTTTTTTGTATCGTCCGCCGTGCGCAGCAGCAGCAAAAGGCCTTTTGCTAACTTACGCTAACTCACTATTTATCAGCGTTCCTTATTAGCCACTTCCTGTAAATCTTATGTAGCCACGCCCTTCATTTGCATGTCTGATGTTTATTTTGTTTCAGATTGTCAACCAAAAGGACAACTTTTTTATTTATTTCTCACACAAAGAAAAAAAAGCTTTTTTTTCAATAAAACCACTGAAAACAAACGCGACTCGACCTGTTTTGTGTGTGTGTGTGGGGGGCGTACTTTGAAACCTTAACCCGAGTTTAAAACCCTGCTTTGAAACCGTAGCCCTAGTTAAAAGCCCTAATTTGAAACACTAGCCTTAGTTGAAAACCCTAATTAGTAAAAAATAAATACATTTCAAACCCTAGTTTAAAGCCCTCACGCTGGTTTAAAACTCTACTTTGAGACCATAACTCAAATTTAAAACCCTAATTTGAAACTAGCCCAAGTTTAAGACCCTATTTTGTAACCCTCGAGCCTCCACCTGGAAAGTCGGCGACTGCAATCGCCTTCGTCTCCTTTTCTTTTCACGCATCGCCCGCAAAGTTTCTCCTTGGAGACATTAATTGCAACAGAAATCGTTGCTTCCGAATGAGACTTAATCAAAGTGAAATGTTGAACAAGCCTGACATCTACGGGGTGCTCAGATAACTGCAGCATCTTCGGATTGTTGAAACTCGGTGAAAAAAAATAGGGGAGAGATTTATTCATAGACGGTCTGATAAAGGCCCGTTTTCCGTTTATGAATGACCAATTTCTAAACGAGAAACGGGACATGTAAAACGTAACCAACAATTTCTACTGCAAGCCAAAGCGGTCATCGTGACCGGTCAACAGGTGACGCTATTGTGCAAAGCGCCGGTAAAAAAAACAGCAAAGGTTGCTTTGGATCGGCGGGCGTGACGTCAGCCCTGCGAGTGATTTGGAGACAGCTGCGCACGAGAGGATTCATCAAGTGCACTGCACAGGTGAGGCAAGAAGGCGACCGCGCGCGTGGCCTTTTCTCAGCCCAGTGAGCACACGAGCAAATGTTTGTTGTTTGTTGACCCGGACTCGTCGTTATTGGCGAGACCACCCCTCCAATCACAGAAAGGAGACACCCTAAACATCCAAATCTTATAATTTGGTACATTAACGTTTCAGTTTACTAAAATATAACATTTTTACCTTGACTCTATCGTGACTTGAATGTTTAAACTCTGCATAATGTAACAATAACATAAAATGCACTTTTTTTTTTACAGCATTTTAATTTCGGTCATTATGGTCGGACTTGAAGAATCGCAGAAACGGCTGCGGGGGGGATCGTTTGAGGTGACAACATGACGGCGTGTGTGTGCGCGCAGTGGTGTGTGTGAGAGTGAGTGAGTGAGTGAGTGAGGAGAGAGAGAAATTGGGTGAGGGGGGCGGTGGGTGCCAGACTTGCATCGAGCAGCTGAGGAGGGACGACAAGAAAGCCTCACCTTCCTCCGTCGAGCAGTAAGCTTCCATCAGCTCACCAGCTCAGTGCCTTCTTGGTGAATGAGGATCCATGGACGAGCCTCTCGCCGGACACCACCAACCAGCAATCCATCGCTGATCATTCCCATCCACTTGGCTTTCTTTCGCCTCGGTCGGCCTGCACACAACAACAGTTTGTCACTCCGTACGTGCATTGAACGTGTGGATGCGTTTCTTGCTCCGCGTGGACCGCAGGCAACGTACGTATGAGCGAGCGCGTGTGTGTGCGTGCGCGTGTGTGTGTGTGTGTGTGTGAGTGACTGTGTGTATGTGCGCGCGCGCAGCGGAGGTCCACCCATTGGCAAAATGGTTTTGACGGAGGCGGTCAGTTAAGCAAATTGTGGTCGGAAGAAGTGTTCAACGACACTGCAACGTGCTGAGAGCTGTTCCGAATATTGTCACCTGCTGATGTGTCGGCTACAAAGAGAGGTGCTCGGTTTGTGTTATTTAGCCTGAAAGCAGGGTGGTGTTTTTTTTTTTCATCTTTTGCTTTAACAGCTGCAGGAGAAGAAAATTCGGTTAAGTTGTGTTTATGTGTAACTTTAAAGCCAGCGTCATTAATAATTGCCAGGTTTCCTTTTCTCACTCCAACGCTCTCAAGTCTGGGGTTCTCTTTGCAGAGGATCAAGAATATATGCCTTTAAGTACTGTTATATTGTTGGATCATTATGCTTCAATTAGACTGGTTGGATGTCCCTAATGAAGTGTCCTGTGAGTGAGGATAGAATGCAGCGTGCCAATTGAACATCATCATCATCCTCATCATCGCCACGCTGGGTCTTGTCGCCACAGACGCATGGAGCACGACTCGAATTACCATGGCCACCAGACAAGAGTGATGAGAAGCCCTCCAGCCGCATTTGAAGCGGGCCTTGTCGTATGAGGACCGTTGGGGCCCGTGGCGTAAGTACATTGCAACAATTCGGGCTGCCAGGGGCCGGGAAAGTTTTTGTGGGTTTTTATTTGCCTTTCAAGCAGCGGTAAGGAATAGTTGGCGGTTTGCGAGTGACAAATCGATGCTGGGACTGAACACAACGGTGTATCAAAGGTTCGATGTCACGTCGGTGTCGAAGGGAGCACGCGTGAGCGCCATGGGCTGCGGCGGGAGCAGGACGGACGCTCTGGAGCCTCGCTACCTGGAGAGCTGGACCAAAGAGACCGAATCCACGTGGTTGACCGGCACCGACGCAGACATACCGCTCTCGTCCATCCACAGCATCCCGTCTGACGGCTCCGAGGCCTGCTTCGCTTCTGAGAAAAACGCCGGTCCGGGTAAGGACGTTGTGCACTAAAAGCAAGGCAACGGCAACTAAAATGGCAAATTGTTGCTTTTTACTTGAACTTGCTTGTTTGATGATGACGCGTTTGTGGAGCGGAACCCGTCTTTGCGAGGGGAAATTCTGCTGTGTTCTGAGGCCTGGAGGACACGAATGGCCAAACCGGGCACAATAGGCAACATGAAAAGAGCACTTGGCTCTCATGACAACAGACGCGCACCTCACACGTTGAAGCAACACAACCTTATGTAACGAGGCTGCCGCATTCATTAGCAATTCATCATGTGGCTTTAGGGTGTTCTCTTCTGCCTTCCAGTTCCCGAATTTTTCGAGGACGGCCTCCCGCCTCCTGCTCAAGCGTACCTCAAAGTGTGCTCAACCGCATCGGAAGCCAGCCTCGGCGACATCAAGCCAGGCGGCGGCGGCTGCAGCAGCCCTCCCGATGTGCCCGCCTCTCCGGCGCAGGATGCGGCAACGGTGTCTTCGGGTACCACGGTGCAGCGCACAAGTGTCCTACACACTGAAGAGATTGTGAGTGATGCGCTACACGAATACCAGAGCGATGTTGTTCAATAAACTTCAAACCCCGTCATCACTCACACTAATGCTAACACAACACGAGAGGCGCCTGGTGCGGCCCAGGTGCTGTCCAGTCATCTTGCTCGAGCAAAGTTTGAGGCTGTCGTTGAGCTCATACCACGCTGGCTAAAGATGAAGTGCTGTGTGGTGTCATCCCCGACAGACAAAATGGCAGGACAACCGCATGTCCACCAAGCAGGTGACCATCACGGTGACGCAAAGCATCCACCAGGTGGACAAGAACGGCAAGGTGAAGAAGTCGCTGACCACCTACGAGGTAATGAAGCCCGCCGAGGCCGTCAAAGAGGTGGCGGCGCTCAACACCTGAGCGGCGCGGCGCGAGGGCTACGACATTCAATGGGGCTTTATTTTCATCGTAGGCCCCCCAGAATGGAGATCCATGTTTTTCATTAGATGGGACTAAATGTAGATTTGAACCCTTTCGACATCACTTGTAAAATTAAAATGTAAACGGTAGAGGTGTGCAGAGTCTCAGTAATGTTGACATTTCTTCAAAAATATTTCAGATAATGAATCGCTTTTCGTTTTCATGTTTAAAATTAGGCATCCATTTTGGCTCAAGTTAACCAAACGTGGTTTCTCACACCCCTCAAGGGCTCGCGTAGCCGAACCATGAAATCATTGTTTTGGGGTGACCGTGCAGGACAGGTGAAAGCCAAACTTTTCATGACGTGACCAATGACGACACAAAGCTGGTGTACATGGGCGGACTTTAATCAAGTGGCACAACCGCGCGTCTTTTTTTGCGGAAGCAAGGGTCAAAACTTACAAATAAATACTTTTTAGTGACGCTAAAGGGCAAATGAGTCGTTTCTGCTGTGGCTCAGGAAGCTGAAATTGAAGATTGCACTTTACAGTGATGGCTCAGTTTGTTAATGTTTTTTTTTGGGGGGGGGGTAATATGTGTTGTTTGAACTGCTATGTGTCTTGAGCGCTGTCTGAATTTGTGCTTTGTAATGACAATAAAAATGGCGGCAGTAATGCCACTGTAAGAAGGACAATTCATTTTCCACAACAGCAGCTCTCGGGTCAGCTCTGAGCAGAGAGTGTGTGGATGTGTTGCTGAGGATCATAAAGCATGCGTCCCGACCGGAACGAGGGCTCCTCTCTCTCCATCCACTCCTCAGGCCGAAAGTCCGGGAAGAAGAACGTCATTTCTCTGCGGGCTGACTCGACAGAATCTGGAGGAAAGTCGAGCGTAATTTGAGCAAGAAAAGAAACTTTGAAAGTCGCGGTCGTCTCTAAAAGACTCACAGTCAACAATCGCCATTCGAGATGCTTATGTGTGTATTGACTGTGGTTCAGGTTGAGCACACCTGATCCGTGAGTGGTGTTGCGCGTGTCCGTGAGACCAAACTGAGCCCGCAGAGAGGTGGGGGAGGTGTATCTGGCTCGGAACACTTTGGTGGGACCCATCAGTTCCCTCCAGTGGCCAATGGCGTCCTCTCGGGCTAAAATGTACGCCCGCATCGGGCCGCTGTGTGCGGGACAAAACAAGCAAAACTGTGAGTACTCTCCAAATTCTGCTCAGATTTTTTTTGTTCAAGTTGTAATGATGTGAAAACTCATTTTGGTACAAACTACATCGAGTCACATCTTTTGTTAGAGCCCCTGACGGGCTTTCTTTTGTCTCTAGGACGGGGGCCTTGATATACGAGTGACCCGCCTCAGAAGAAGTTATGTTGTTTGAATGAGTTTTTGTTTTGCCTTGCAAGCAAAAACATAATACAATAAAAACATGTAGAGTATCGAATGATTTTTATAGACAAGCGATCTCAGGTCCTTGCTTACCTTGACATGTACTCAACAAGTCTTTGGTAGAAGAATCGCCCTGAAAATTAGCATGACAGAGAAGCTTAAGGGACAAATCCACCCAGACGTTTTCTTGACAATACTATATTCTATGCTCCTGCACGAGTGTAAAAATGGCATTTTGTTCATACAAACAAATGCGCGCTGCACCTGAATGCTCAGCGTAAAACTTCTCAGACTCTTGTCGTCTCCACACCACATCTTTGCGTCGAACAATGACAAACTGGTTATCCAGGATAATTTGGTGAAGTGCCTGCAAGACATATTTGGAAAAAAATAAGACTTTGTGTCTAATAGGAATAGAAATCTTAGTGTATTTTTTTAAGTGATCACTTTTTGTTGCTTTTTACAATACACAGTGGTTGCTACTCTGTTTATGCTGCTTACCTCGCGGTCAGTGAAATATAGCTGCTGTATCAGTGTGCATTTTCCATGTTTGTCTGCAGGTATATTCTCAAATAATTGTTAAAATGCAAATATACACAAGCCAGATAGCAAAGAAGCCCATGCTATACTGTCAAAGAATGAAGAAAAAGCTATATATGTTAAAAAAACTGCCTGGGGCCATGAATATCATACTCAAAGGAGTAAAAACGCGTTGTTTTTGATGAACAACACTTACTCGACTATATTTCAAAGTTGCCCACTGTGACGATGCTTGAAGAGTACAACCAAGCATTTTTGAGGGGGTACTTGAATCAAGGTACCTCCAGCATGAGAGGATGAGCCACCGCGTCTGGTTTGATGACCGCCAGGGTGAGCTGCAGCGCTTTGGACAGGCGACACGCCGTCAGCAACATTGTCTCTACAAATTAAAAACAACTACAACATGAGCAAACTATGGCTTGGAAACGCCATGACGACGAGCTAAAACAACCGTTTTCAGATCGAGCCTTATTTACCAGAAGTCGACTTTTGAGGGCTCCCAAATGCTCGTAGACTTTCAAAGAACATCGAGAATTTCCGCCATCGTGTCTGTCATATTTAATCTTTTTGATATTTGTTTTGGCGAGTCATGTATAACCGTCAATGGTGCGATGAAAATGTATAGATTGTAGGCGAGTGTGAGAGTGAGGACCAGTTGGTCCATCAGTCAAATATGTCACCGAAAATGGTCATTTTCTATTAGTTCCTCCTGTGGAAAATCCGTAGCGTGAGGTGTGTTGACTTTTCAGAATTTTAAACTTTGGCTTAAACAAAAGAAGAAAATCTTACAATAATCTAATGTGGCCAGCGATTGTCCGGCAACCAGTCCAGGGTGTACCCACGGACGTATGAAAGGACGAACAATCCTGCTTCCCTGCCGTCGGGAATAGTGACGCCCCCAGCGGCCATTTTACGTTGCCACATGCTAAGCCTATTAATTTAAGGCTCGTTTGGAAATTCACATTGACAACCATGCACTTAGAACTCGTTCTAAGTGCATGGTTGTCTTAGAACTCGTTCTTATTCTTCGGCTTTTGACTCAGCATGAGACTTAGTTTTTAGTTTTGTGTTTTTGGGCTTTCTACTGTCTTTGTTTAAAGTCCTCTATAAACACAGTTGAGATGTGTGTGTGTGTGTGTGTGTGTGTGTGTGTGTGTGTGTGTGTGTGTGTGTGAGAGAGTGATTCAGTAATTTCCTAATTCAAATTATGTTCTTAATCAATCAGCAGCCCATGCTTGAGATGGCTCCAACTTTGCTACTTGATCAGCTGGCATGGTGTCCCCACTCGGAGCACCTAGTGCGTGCACTGGCACCCGGTTTTTGGCACTCCCAAAGTCAGCTGATCTCGACTTCCACTCACATGCAGCCCTAATGAGGACAAGCGTTTGAGAAGATGGCGTGGATGGTCTGTGGTATGACATCAATGTGGCACATATGAAAACAGAAATATGTCAAGTGCATGCCAACTGTGCCAAAAGGGCCACACCCTGCGTGAGGCGGGATGCCAAAGAACAAGATGGAGGAATGGGAGTGGGTGAAAGTACCACAAATACTCTCGTCTTGCCCACCTGTCCTGGTCATGTGACCCAGGGCTCCTGAAGCCACAGCTGTCAGGACGATGTTGGTCTTAACTGTCTTAGTTTGGATAGATGGATAGCTAGCTAGATGGATAGATATATAGACAGATAGATAGGCTTTTTGAGAGGGTGAGTGAAAATAACTGAAATAATGTGGTTGCACAAGTCTTGCACACCCTCCTCACCGGGGATGCGGCTGTGTTCAGAATCAAGCAGTCTAATTCCAACTCTCTCTCCTCCCCGCGTGCAGTTGTCGCCGCTCCCTTTTGGTCAGGCAGCTGAGCCACAACCCCCACAAGGCCATGCTTGCGTCGGGGCCCACACGACAGTATGGTGACTGCACCAGGCACCAACACACTTGTTAAAGTTGGAGTTATGTTCTGAAAGCATGCTAGTTCAAGGAGAATTGAAGTCTTGGGAGAGAACACTGATTTCATTGAAATGTCCTCCAGTGGATCATGCCACCCACTCACTGCCCCCACCCCAAATCCTTTCATGTCCTCCATTATTGTAACAGTGAAATCAGGCTTTCCTGTGGCAACACCTTTCGGGTGTGGTGGTAACACGTAGGCACCTCATTCGGACGCCCCACAAAAGACACGGGAGTGGAGACGAGGGGCTCCAAAGTGGCCTTGTTGCCTCCCCGTGAGCATCGCATGGATGCGTTTGAGGCCACCTGGAAAAGACAAACACATTCAGAGCCTCCGTTTCAAATCAACTGGCTTTGCTCTCAACACTAATGACCTCGGAGGATCCATAGCAAATCCTCACCTGTTCTCTCTGTGAGCCTAAACGCCGGCAACCTTTGAACTCTCTCCCCGCGGCAGCTGCGTCAACCTCAGCGTCGGGCAACTGGCGTGCCCGGGGAAGGACAGAGGGTGGTATTAATCCTGTATCAGCAGCTAATGAGTCAGCAACATGATACAAAACGCCCGTGTCTGTACTGCCTTTTTGGGTCGTTGTCTTCTTTAAGTATTTGGGGGAATGGTTGAATTTCAGCCTTTAAGTGCGAGCTCACTATTTCTCACGTAGGAGGAGCAATTGGATGAGGCATTCAACTTCAACATGCCGGGCATCCTCATGAAAGGCTTATCATCGTTTTATAGGGACACTGTTTCATGTGATTCAGATGCCGAGCTGTTCGTTGTTGTTCAGTCACCCGAGGCGCCTCAGGATTATCCTGAGTAGCGCTAGACTTCTATTCGGGAGGCTTCTGAGCCTAGCTGTTCGCACTGAGAACGGGGGCGCCCTGAATTGGATTCCAGTCTTGGCACAAAATACGAGCGTAACGTTGAAGAAGTTATTCAGTGATACCGGTTCATTTCCGCCACGGCACACTGCCTTAGTGTGTGCGTAGACTACATGATGGGAGAGTGCGGCGGGCCCCTCGACAAGTCACAGTGATCAGCCGCCCTGTGGGGAGGAACAGGGAGATTACGATTTGCCTTCGGGCCACTGTGTCTGATTTGAGTGGCCGCGCATTGCCCCCGACGACAAAAGTCACCCAGTCCTCCCCAGGGGCCCGATATAACGCTGGCAAGGCCTCAGAGCGTCGCTGACATGAGTGGAAATGATGCATTTGAGGTCAGCGGCTTGCACCCTGGCCGGTGGCCATGGGAAATATCGAACAATTTGGACGACATCCTTTCAAAGAGACACACACACACACACATATATAAATAAATAACTGCGTTACTATTTGTGGATGGCGAGCGCCTCGGAAATAGCGAGCGCGTCGGGTTTCAATATAAGCTCCCCGCTCTGAGCTGGAGATTTCTGTGAACGAGGGCCCTGGGTTCCGATCACGCCCCGACCCCGGATACTGATTTTAGAACACAGGTGTTGACCTTAGCGCCATGGCTTGTGCTTGCGGCAGAGGAAAATGAACCTGAGTGCTGCTGACGACCCGATGTTCCCCCAAGATGCCTTTGTGTGGTCAAATACGGGCCGGCATTGGCCGACGTGTCAACAGCGAGCCGGAAGAAAGACGTGTTCGTGGAAATGGTTGTGCAACCAAAACTATAATCGCCAATATGTGTCCAAAAAGGCATTGTAACCCACACTAATACGAGCGCATAACCTTCTCCCCAAAAAAATCCCTTCGCTCTTCCATCTTCCGCGATACACACACTCATGACCAACAACGAGGCGCTCTAAAAAAGTCACGACAGCAAACTATCCAAGGGCGGGGATGTATTTTCGGGTGCAGGCATAGCTAGCTATGGTAATTGGCGCAATTGTGTTGGAAAACCACTGACGCGAACCAACTTCTTCTGTAAATGAGGGCAGGGCGACTAAAGCTGGACTCCAGAATTTGCCATTTTGTCCCCATATTGATTGAGGAAAGCAAGAACATCAGACCTGATTCTAACATACCGAAGAATTGTCTCCAAAGTGTTTCATTAGTGGCTTGGAAATTTCCTTTTTTTGGCCGAACTTTGCTCACCAGCTCACAATTAAATTCTCATGCAGCGTGTACCCGTCCTTGGCCAAGGTAACGTTTCATTCACAGCAACGAAACCAATCAGCTGCTAAACGCCATGACACATGTCTGCCCTACAGGCTTTGCATTGTTCTGGCCTTTTCTCAAAAAAAAAAAAAAAAAAGAAGCCATTGACATTCAGTGTAAAAGGGTTGTCGGGGGGGGGGGGGGGTTGGGGGTTTGGGGGGGGGGA